AAACCTATACATATAGCACTCCACCCAACCTATAGGAAAAAGATAACTTGAGAGGTTATCTTACGTAAACAGGCACTTCTCAAAAGATAATATCCTTGGCTAAGGAGGAGAAACTATATTATTTTTTTACCCAGAAAGCCCTGTCTCTTAATATCCCAAAATGTAGTAGCTTAAAATAATCATTAATTATACTCTTGGGCTCTGTGAATAGGAATTTAGATACGACACAGTAGGAATGACCTGTCTCAGTTCTAGGATGTCTATGAACTCAACTGCAGGTTTTTAGTGTTTTTAGTAAAAGGCAACCACCATAATATCAAAAGGAGGATAAAGGTACTTTAAAAACAATTGGAGAAAATTCAGACTTTTCAATGCAAAGAAGTAAAAGACACAAAAGGGAAAAGAGGATACAGAAAGGAAAATATGGAATAAGGTAGTACGACAATCCTAATACAACAATAATTAAAATAAATGTAACTAGGGTAAATTTATCAATAAAAGGACATACCCTCTTTTCTTGGATAATAAAAATAAACCCACCAAAATGTTGTATACATAAGATACTCTTAAAACAAGAAGGCACAGGCAGTTTGGAAATAAAAGAATGGGCTATATCAGGCAAGTGTGAACCAAAAGCAAGTTAAGAAAGCAATCTTATTGGGTTAAGTATAATTTACAACCCAAATGTGTCAATGAAATAAAGACAAAAATAAACAATAGAGCAACAGGATATAATTATCAAAAGTACATATACTTTACCTATCTCAAAGTATGTCAATCAACAACTGACAGAGAGATAAATGAATGAACAACTGTGATTGAAGATTTTAATGTTCACTAGTAAGCAACTGAATAGCCCAAGTAAATACAGTCAACATAGATTTGAAGTTAAATAAAATAATAAGCTCAAGCTATTATACATATACATACATGTATACATATATACCCATATCAAAAGATAGTACCTATTTAAAGAAAAATAAGGCATTTACAAAAATAGACCACATATGATTGAAAAAAAGCAACAAGTTCAAAATGTTCAATATCACATAGATGTTATTCTTTGGCCAAAATGAAATAAAAGTAACAAAAAAGTAGTAGCCTAAAATTCTAAATAAACTAAATGACATATCACTAAATTACCCTGGGGTAGAATTAAAACAATAAAGGCAATTCAGAAATACTTTGAAAAATTACAATGGGAATAGCATTAAAAAATTATAGGACACAGCTAAATCAGTATTTAAATTAAAACTTTTATTTTTTTTAATCAATCCTCACCTGAGAACATGCTTAGAGAGGGAGAGGGAGAGGGAGAGGGAGAGGGAGAGGGAGAGAGAGAGAGAGAGAGACAGACATCAATTGGTTGCCTACCATACGTGTGCCCTGACCTGGAATCAAACAGGCAACCTTTCCATGCACAGGATTATGCTCAACCAACTAAGCCACTCAAGCTGAGCAAAAACTTTTAACTTCAAATACACTTATATAAAGACTGAAATGTTAAAAAGAGCAGAGCATTTGCCTCAAGAAAATATGGGGGTGGGGGAGGCAACAGAAGGAAACTCAGAGAATTTTAAAGTAAAAAAATAAACACAGAAATCTATGCAGATTAAAAACAACAACAATAAGCATTAACAAAACTAAAAGCTGGTCCTTTGAAAAGATTAATTAGCTAGACAAATCTTCCTAAATAGATTCATCAAGGAAAAAAAGAGGAAATATGCAAATAAAATACAGAAACAAAAATTCTTAAAAATAATTATTGACATGAGATTTAAAAATAATAAATTCCTAGATATAAATTCCAAAAATGGCTTAAGGAGTAAAAAACTCCGAAAGACCAGTAAGTGTTAATAACACTGAACCCCGTCAGAGCTCTAGCGCCAGCTACAGGCCACTTTTCTTCTTTCCTCATGGAAACAGCTCCCCTGAGCCCTGGAGGGAACAGTAAATGACGCTGTCAGCCTAGGAGAGGGCCCTGGACCCAGCCTGGACTTTCCAAATGCCCTATTTTGCACACTGGGATCAGTCTAGGGGTGGAAAATAAAGCTCAAAGTCCTTTTTGTGGACTGATGTGAACAATGAGGAAAAGTGAGTCTCTTTCCTTCTGGTATCAAATAAGTAGTTAGAACCCAGTAACCGGGAGCTACAGTGGCCACCTTGGCCCCCGCCATAAAGAAACTAAAGCAGGAAAGCAGAAGAAAGCACAGATAAGAAAGAATTTCAAAAGAGAGACAGAGAGCCCTGGCCAGGTGGCTCAGTTGGTTGGGCATCGTCCGGTGCACCAAAAGGTTGCTGGTTCATTCGATTCCAGGTCAGGGCACATGCCCGGGTTGCAGGCTTGATCCCCAGTGTGGGGTGTGCAGAAGGCAGCCGATCAATGATTCTCTCTCATCATTGATGTTTTCTCTCCCTCTCCCTTCCTCTCTGAAATCAATAAAAATATTTTTTTTTAAGTGAGAGAGACAGATCTGATGACAACTTGGGACCCCTGGATCCAACCAGGCCTGAAGCCCTCTCCACCTTTTAGAACTCTCATTCAAAAGACTCAATAGTCTTTTTTTTCTTTAAAGAAGTTTGAGTTTGGTCTCTGTCACTATAATCAAAAAATAACTGATGAATTAAAAGGTGGGGAAGAGGGAAGGTGCTAGATTTTTAGAGTCCTGAATTTGAATCTCAAGGACAGCTCACATAATCTCCAAGTGCCTCCGTTTTCTCATCTAAAAAAAAAGTAATAATAGTATCCACTCATAGGGTCTTGGTGGAGATTGGGATGGTCCAGGGAAGCAACTGGCTGCTTCTATTCCATCTGAGGTCCCCTTGAAGGCAGGACCACGCCAGACTCATCCCTAGCCTGACCTCAGCAAGTCTTTCTTGACAGGTGCTAGTGCCATCATGCCAATGAAGGGCACCTGTGGCTTCTACGCCAGCTGCCACTGGGCAACCACAAACACTGACGCAACACCAGCCACATTTTTATTTAAAAATAAAATATCAAAGAAGTGAACTTAAAGTTAATCTCGGGTGTTGCTGTGTTACTCAAAATTCCTGGAAAGGCCTCCTATTGGTCAATGACTGGGGGGAGGGGACCACCAGTGATGAAGGCCACTGGCCCCCTCTAACCATTAACCAGCCAGGAAGCTGGCAAACAGGATTTAGCAGCAACTGCCCCTCTGGCTTACTGTACACACCTGAGGACCCAGGACGCAGGACACAGCCAGCAGCTGCAACCTGGACTCTGCAGACGGTGAGTAACAGCTCAAGACACTCCATCCTTTGCTCCTGCCAGACCTCAGAACATAGGACTGCAACTTGCTTATTTGATTTTTTAAATTAGGGCATGAACAGCCAACAGGGATAGGAGGCAGCCCAGGAGAGGGCGTCCTGAATTCTGTGTCTGCCCATAGGAAGTTTGGTTTCCCCTAGCCTCCAGCTTCGTGGGGTTGACACTGAGCCAAGACCCATTCCCATCTGTCTCACAACTAATGCTCCTAAGCCAGACAGCATAAGAGCCCAGAGACCAGTCTGAGAGCTGGCATGGCAGCGCCCTGGGGGGACGCAGGGTCAGGGGGAGAGGGTACCCGCCTGGCATAGCACACACTGTGCCTTCTACAGTGTTGCACACACCTCCTGGCTTGGTGACCTGGGGCCAGGATACTGCAGATAAAACAGCACTATCTGCTTTCCCTCCACGTTAGGAGGCCCCAGGGCTGTACCTGGCCCACAGGGCGTTTGTGAAAGCCAAGGATGCCGTGGGTGCTCACTATGTAGGTCACTTCAGAAATGAGGAACAAGGACATATGTGAACTGAATCATGAATAATATTGACACTGCATTTTCAGAGAGCTTTTTCACTCATCATTCTGTTATCCATAGAGAAAAGCAGAATGGCTGATCACAGGCTCTGAAGTCAGAACACACGGCTTAGAATTTCAGCTCTAACTCCCTGGGCCTCAGTTTTCTTATCTGTACAATGGACCCGGGATGACCCCTTAAGTGAGGTCACATAAGAAAACACTAACAGCTGTGACTATATTCACAACCATCTTGTAGCATCTTAATCCCCATCTGGGAGGAGTAACACAAGAGACAGCAGGAAGAGAAGGAAGCAAGCCCGCCTAACTCACACTGCAGAGAGCCTTTGCCCAAGAGGGGCTCAAAGACAGGTTCAGAGGTGACCGGAGCTAAAGCAAAGATCTCATTGCAGTGTGATGGGGACAGTGACAGAGAGAAGCACAGAGGAAGGGCTTCCTGGAGGAGGTGACCTGGGACCTGAGGGAGTGAGCCAGACTAGGCAGGGAGAGGCTGCACCTACAGAGTGGAGCCATGTGGGGCAAGAATGGGATGGCGCCCTGGCCAGAGCCAGCTCCACAGACACTGGGAGGTGCAATGACCTTCCCTGCCCTGGCCCCTGCAGAGCAGTGAGTCTGGTGTGTGCGGGGAGGAAACCCCTGGGATAGCCAGCCATCGGGCTGTGGCTGAGACTTCCAGGGGCCACATCTGAGGCTGGGAGCAGGGCTGGCTGTCACCAGTGACGAGGTCATGAGGACCCCCTGGGTCACCTTGGTGAAGACCCACCCTGCCTGGAGCCCCGGAGAAGGCCAGCAACTTGTTAATTAAAGGACACTATCAAAAGAGCAAAAAGGCGCCCACAGAATGGGAGAAAGTACTTACAAGTCACATATCCGATAAAGGGTTAATATCCAGAATGCATAAAGAACTCCTAAAACTCAGTACAAAATACAAGAAAGCAACCAACTCAATTCAGAAAATGGGCAAAGAACTTGATAAGTCATAGCAGGTATAATTTATACTTTCAGCTGAGACAATTGAGGCCCAGAGTCCTCCTGAATGGCCCCCAGTCACACAGTCAAAGTGGAAGAACAAACTGGGGCTTGAATGGGTCTCCTGCCTACTGTCCCACCAGCCCCAGTGCCCGGGAGGCCCCACATCATCTAATGAGCATTTCTCACTCTGCAGGCCCAGCATCCTGAACAATGCTGCTCGGCCTGTGCACCTGTCTCCTCTGGCTGTCTACCAGTGGCCTCTGGACTGCTCAGGCTAAGGACTCTGATGCTGACATGAGTGTAAGGAGTCAGCACCGGGACCTGGCTCCAAACAATGTTGACTTTGCCTTTAGCCTGTACAAGCACCTAGTGGCCTCAACCCCCGGCAAGAATGTCTTCATCTCCCCTGTGAGCATTTCCATGGCCTTGGCTATGCTTTCCCTGGGGGCCCGTGGCTACACAAGGGCCCAGCTTCTCCAGGGCCTGGGCTTCAACCTCACTGACACGTCTGAGGCCAAGATCCATCAGGGTTTCCGGCACCTCCATCGCCTCCTCATGGAGTCAGACACCACCTTGGAAATAACCATGGGCAATGCCTTGTTCCTCAACCAGAGCCTGGAGCTGCTAGAGTCCTTTTCCACAGACACCAAGCATTACTATGAGTTGGACACCGTGGTGACAGACCTTCGGGACTGGGCCAGAGCCCACAAGCAAATCAATGAGCACATCAAGAACAAGACACAAGGGAAAATTGTGGACTTGTTCTCCGAGCTGGACAGCCCAGCCATGCTCATCCTGGTCAACTACATCTTCTTCAAAGGTACCCCACCCATCCCATTCTGATGGCACCCCACCTACTACTGCCAAGACCAGTAACAGCTATCAATATTCAGGTGCACTCGTGGGCAAGGCCTTTTGTTTTACAAAACACATGCACGTCTGTGAGTCTCCATCTTCACCATAACCCTACTAGGAAGGTGGAATTACATAACCTTACAAAAAGGTCAGAACGACAACCAGGAGAGTTGAGTGACTTGCCCAAGCTTTTATAGGCTGGTCTGAGGCCCAATCATGTAACCAGGAACAGTCTGGCTACCTCACAGTCTCTAAACATTGGCTAAGATCTGGCTGTGAATCAGGCCCTGGGCCAGGGACTGGAAACAGCAGCCTAGAACCAGACAGACCTCCGGAGCTCTCGGATTGCACCTGAGCTGTCGTATATACATTTCCCAGGTGCTCATAGCCAGCCAAACTTCAGTTCCTCCTCACCCATTTGGAACAGCTTTTCCAAAATCCCTCTTCATAAAAATCACCAGGGAGACTTGTTAACATTATAGATTCCAGATCCCACACCTGACTTACTAAAGCAAGACCTCCACAAGAAAGTCCTAGAATTTGTATTTTTTAACCCTCCTCTAATCATTTTAAAGATCAGAAAATTTGGGGACATATTGTCCTTGAGAATAAAATCTAAACTCCTTAGTTCTCAACCCCCATCGGCCCTCAGGGAATTGGACAATGTCTGGAGATATTTGTGGTTGTCACAATGAGGGGTGGGGTGGGATGTGCTCCTGGCGTCTATTGGAAGGGCGTCTATTGGGAGAGCCTGGGGTGCTGCTAAACACCCTAAAATTCACAAGACAGCCCCACAATGATATCTGCCCCAATGGCTATAGTCCCAAGGTTGAGGAACCCTGGCCCAGCACCATCTGCTTCTTTGCCTCTCCAGTCTCATGCCAACATTTTACCTACACACACACACACACACACACACACACACACACATTGTCTGACCATACTAAATTCCTTTTGTGTGCTTGAGTATGGCTGTCCCTGTACAAGCCTGTATGAGTTTCCTATTGCTGCTGCAACAAATTAATGCAAATATGGCTTAAAACAATGCAATTTATTATATTACAATTCTGAAGGTCAGAAATCCAAAATGAGTCATATTGGGTTACAGTCAAGGTGTTAGTAAGGCATGTTCCTTCTGGAGGTCTTGTTCACACCCCTCTTCCATTTTTAGGGGCCAATCTCAGAAAGGGAGCTAAGCCTCAATCCATTCAAGACTGGAAGATGGAACAGGCCTTAAACCTCTGGGTATTTCCCGTTTATCAGGAAACTCTAGGGGACTGGCGGGGACCTTCCAGGGTGAGGGAAGCTGCTGTGTAACTTGCATAGCGATTACCCCTGGCGCTCAGCTGCCACCACGCTCCTGCTCTTACAGGCCTATCTCCTGCCCTCCCTCTCCCTCTTCTTCCCAGGCACGTGGGCACACCCCTTCGACCTGGCAAGCACCAAAGAGGAGAACTTCTATGTGAATGAGACGACCCTGGTAAAGGTGCCCATGATGTTCCAGTCGAACGAGATCAAGTACCTCAATGACCCGGTGCTCCCCTGCCAGCTGGTGCAGCTGGACTACCTGGGCAACGGCACTGTCTTCTTCATCCTTCCAGACAAGGGGCAGATCGACGTGATCATCAAGGCACTGAGCCGGGACACCATGCAGAGGTGGTCCGATTCCCTGTCCAGTGGGTAAGCCCTCCAGCTGGCTGTGTGAACTTCTGAAGTGGATCTGTTCCCAGAAAGTGGGGTGGGTGGGAAAGGGGTGCACCTGGGCGCCCATGGTGCCCCGGACACACCCTCCGGGGCTCACTGTTTTCCTGTCTGCTGGGTTCCCAGAGGCCATGAGGTTCTCTGACCTCAGGTCACCTTCATACATCTATCCATTGACACTGAGATACTTTGGGGCATTCCACAAAGTGAGGTGCCTGGGAGGTTAATAGCCACCCTTGTGTTATCAAATGTTTGCATCATTTTTTAAAACTGAGTTCACCAGCCTCCCACTTACCCATCTATAACCTTGCTTCCCTGAAACCAAGTACTGCTAGAGATGCCTAAGAGACTACGGTTAGACATGTAATGAAAATGGCCACAGTATCCACCACGGAAGCAACACAAAGCCCATGAATGATTCTTAAGTCACTCAGGGATCTAATTCTTCTTCAATCAATCAGTAAATAAGTAAAAATCAGGACATACAGTAGGTAATAATTGAATAAGGAAAAAGAGAGTGAGGAGTGTCCATCCTGATGGGTTGGTGGTCAGGAGGAGAACCAGTCAATGAATCTCAGGCCCAAGAAAGGGGTGGGCTCAGAGTGCATATTCAGGGAGGCTGGCTGAGCATGTGAGCAATGAATGAAGGAACGAAAGAACAAATGAATTAATTTTCCCCCAGGCACTTCTGAGCTAGAGGACAATCACAGTTATGGTCAAACATGTGCCCAGCCCTAATCTTCACCTTAGAGGAGGCAGATGTTTTTGAACATGACCCTAACTCTTAGGAGATCTGAATTCTGTCTGTACACAAGCAAACACCAACCAACAAGGGACCTGGTGGTGGGTGGGGTGGTGCAGACTCAAAGAGCAGAGGGCATGCAGGGAAGGGAGCAGCACTTGGATCTGGAGTAGCTCAGGAAGGTTCATGGAGCAGGTGTCATTCCTTTCATTCCCTCAGTCACTCACTTATTCACCTAACAGTCATAAATGGAAGCACCTACTATGTACCACGCACTAGGCTAAGCAGAAGGGATAGAATGGTGAATAAGACACAGTGCAGACTTCAAAGACATGCACTCCAAAGCAGAAAACAGATTCTGGTGGAATTTACAGTGGACAGTGACAGAAGCTCTGCCCAAGGGAGAGAGGGAAGGTGATGTGTGCAATGCCGGGGGGTGGGGGAATGAGGGGGAGGTCCCTGACTGGACCCAGGGCCCTGGGGAAGGAGAGGCAGAACAGACTGCTTTGGCTTTGAACTGTGTATTAAGCCTAGGTGAAAGTTCAACCAGCAGGAAGTGGCCCCTAGAGCATGAGTGGAAGAGGGAATGGCACCAAGTCAAGGAGGCTGTGCCCAGGGCCCCAGCCAAGCTGGGCAGCAGCAGCAAAGAATAAGAACAATTCAACTCAGATGAACTTAGCAATCCAAGACTTTGCAGATACAGAATCTAGAAAGAAGCTCTTCTACTTTATTACATACTAGAGGCCCGATGCACGAAAGTTGTGCAAGGGGCTCGGCCCCCGCCACCATGGAAGGTTGTCCGGAAGGATGTCCGGAAGGCCATCTGGTCTAATTAACATATTATGCTTTTATTATTATAGATGTAGGTTTTGGGCTTTATGCTCTCGAGTTGCGTTTACTTTGAATGCTCCCCTCCACTGTCCGCTGCTGGGGCTCCTGGAAAGGTTATCCAGTTCCATGAATGGACATAGAGGTGCCTGGGAGTTTGACCTCACTCCTGAAGGGACTCAGGGTCTAGTCAGGTCTGGGATTCAGAGAGACCCCCTATGGCTACATGGGGGACACAGAAGGCATTCTTATAGAGTCCTGAAACCAAACATACCTGCCCTGAGTGTGTGAGGTTGTGTGTGTGTGTGTGGGGGGGGTAGTATGTGGAGGTGGGTATGTTCATGTGAGCCTGTGTTTGGGTGATGGTAGATAGGGACCCATTTGCCAGCTCTTCACCATTTCAACTGTCCCATCCCCACCTCCATTCAGGTACAATGCCACCAGGTGCTAATGACACACCCGGATTCTAACGAATTCTGGACCCTAATGTGTTGCAAATGAGATCGGTAATCTTTCTCTTTACACCAAAAGTAATCTCTTTACTAAACTACTTTAAATTACCATTCATTAATAACACATGCCACTTTCTTCTAAATCCTTATTAAAATAAAGATCCAAGGTGAAGTTTTGCGCCTTTAGCCCTCATATGTGACTGGGCATGAACAATTCTCTACTCCATCCAAACGGAGCCTGCCCAGTCCCAGAAGACAGACCCTCTGGTTCCTCACACCCGTGCTTTTGTGACCCTTCCCCCACCTACCTTCCCAGCATCACCTCGACGCTCACGCTCCCCAGTCTCCCCAGAGCACCGAGCCCCCACCTTCAGGTCCAGCTTGCACCCACCTCCCGCGGAAGCCTCCACCCCACTCAGAACTCGCACACTCTTTCCTCCCTGTCCCCTTGTCCCGCTGTCAAGGCAGATTGCTTTGGCTTTGAACTGTGTATTGAGTCTCACTTACCCCCGCTGCACTGTGTCACACGGGCAGCTCTCCAGGGGCGAGGAGATGGGGCCTGGAGGCAGCTGGTCCTGGTGCTTCCGGGGTGTCACTGGGAGAACCCTCGGCCTCTCCGGACTTTCAGTCTCAGTCTGGACACTGATGGTAGCGTGAGCGCGTGTGGACTGGCCGAGGGCCAGGAGGTAAAGAAGGTCGCCAGCCCGGCATCGGTCCATCCCCCTTACTTTCCGTTGCCATTTCCCAGAGGAGAGTTTCCACATCCCGCTCACCGCGATGCCTCCTCATCGCCGGGAGGGATGTTCAAGTGCTCAGGGCTGCTGGCAGCCTCCGGGACTCCCAGGGCTGTTGGCTCAGTGCACAGAGGTGCTGCCTCCCCGCCTGCGGTGGAGCCCATGTCGTTTCGCTGATGCCCCTCAGACTCAGGCTTTCAGGGACCTTCTCACTCTCTGGAGAACAGGACAAGGAAGAAATATTTAAAAGAAATTAATACCTTGGTAGGTGAAAATGTTTAGCATCCCACGCCCAACATGATTCCACCTAACTTTCTAGAAACCCCACTGGCTTTATTCAATGAGAACTGCTGGCCGAATCTCGGAATTCTCACAGAACCGACCTCAGAGCAGAAGGGCCAGGGCACAGAGAGGGCTCACCATGGCTCTGCCACACAGCCTTAGTGGCACAGCTGTGGCCAGGACCCCTGTCCCTGTCCCTGCCCCTTTCCCCAAAGAACCTGTCCAGCTGAGAGGCAGGGTCCGGAGGGATCACAGGAAGTCTGGCTGGCCAAGCCCAGCCCTGGGAAAATCCAACCCCGTCTGCTTACCCCCGAGCAGCCCGGTGGACCTGTACATCCCGAAGGTCTCCATCTCAGGAGCCTATGACCTTGGGGGCCTCCTGGAGGACATGGGCATTGCAGACCTGCTCACCAACCAGGCAAACTTCTCAGGCATCACTCAAGAAGCCCAGCTGAAGGTGTCAAAGGTAAGTGTCTCTAGAGCCTTCCCCCCAACAAAAACAATGCACAATATAAATAATAATCAGAGGCATGGAGCCCACTCATGAATAGGCCCAGAGCCCCAGGCTGAGAGCCCCGGCCTTGTCCGTCCCAACAGGTGATCCACAAGGCCACGCTGCAACTCGATGAGAAGGGGGTGGAGGAAGCTGCCCCAACCAGAGTCTCCCGAAACGAGGCGTCCGAGCCTCTCACCATTCACTTCAACCGGCCCTTCATCATCATGATCTTCGACCACTTCACATGGAGCAGCCTCTTCCTGGTCAAGGTTGTGAATCCAACCTAAGCGTCCACCTTCCCCAGAGCCACCACAGAAAGGACACGTGAGGAGGGAGGGCCCCAGTCCTCTCCAGGTTCTCCTCTGAAATACCTGGCATTGTGACTGACGACAGGGTATTGAAGGAGAAAGGTGGGGCACCTGACAGAATCTGAATCATAGCCACATAGTGTAGTCACGTGATTTTGTTTTTTGATCCTTGAACTATGGTTAAGTAATCATATGCGGCAACTGGGGGAAGGGTATATGGAAGCACTATTACTTTTGGAAATTGTGTAAGTTTGAAATTCTTTCTAAATAAAAACTTTAAAAAGAAATAGTGTAAGCCAAAACACAACAGGAAGACATTTTCAAAGTGCTAGGGGGGAAATGTCATTATCTTTCAAAAAGAAAAAACAAGTCTTCAAAAATGAAGGCAAAGTATTTTTTTAAGATAAACAAAAGCTGAGAAAGTTTATCAGCTTCACTAAAGAAATTTTTTAAGTAGTTTTTAGGCAGAAAAAAAGATGACTCAAGTTGGAAACCTGGACCTATACGAAAGAATGAAGAACACTGGAAAGGGCAAATACTTATGTGGATAAAACAAAACATCTTAAAAACATCTTTAAAGTATAATTACTGCTTAAAGCAGAGAAAGTTATCAATGAATGTGTTGCTTCTCACCTCTTAATCCTCCCTTCATTGCTGCTCTGCAAAAATGAATCTGGGCCTTTTAAATATTTTTGTGTTGCCTGCTGGGCATGATGCTAAACTTTGTCAGTAGAGGGCTGATAGAGCAACATTGAGAAAGAGAGGCCTTACCCTCCTGGTTAAGGGCAAAGGGTATTAAATGAGATAAAAGAACTGAACTGACTGACTGATGAACAGATAGACGTATAAATAGACGTAATAGATATGATAGATAAATAGATAAAAGATAAATAGAAGACAGCTAAACAGACGGATAGGGCATATATCTTGAAAAATAAGAAATGAAGGGGACTTCCTTAAATATACTACTTATCCCATATATACCTGAACCTGAATCCTAAAGCCCTAAAGCCATTGTATTACTTAGTAAGAAAACATGAGTATTCCCACTAAGGTCAAGAGTAAGACAAGGCCGCCCGTTACATCTACTACCATTTGCATTGTCCTGGAGGGATTAGACTGTGTAATTAGAAAGAGAAAGCAAAGGTGCAGATGGCATTTAATATACTTGCTTAGCCCTAGCACAACAATGATTAAACAAACTCAAACAATGAAAGAATTCAGCCTAATCTAAGGAAAAGGAATTCACATGCATAAACAGACCTTCATACACACAAGTAACAACCAGTTAAGACATGTACTGGAAGAGAAAACCCAACAGCAACCAAAAAGATAAACATCTACACTAATAAAAGAGAAACATGGTAATTGGCGTACGACCGCTACCCTTCCCATAGGCTAATCAGCGTATCCTTATGCAAATTAACTGTCAGCCAAGATGGCGGCCGGCAGCCATGCACTGAAGCGAACAGGGAGGCTTGCTTCCTCCAGGGACTGCAGACTCCAACGTTCCCCGCCTCACTTGCCGGACTCTCAACTGCAACTCTAAGCAACTATTACTATGTTGCAAATAAGAAGCTAAACAAAACCGGCTGTCAGTCAGCCCCGGACCGCAACATTGTATCCATGTTTTCAGCAGCGAGGCCTCAGAGCTAAAGCTGGCCCAGAATAAAAAAAAAAAAAAAAGAAAACAAGGAGCAGTTGGAAGCTTTTAGTCAACTGCCAGCGGGAAAACAGCCCTCAGCCCCTCAGCCAGCCTGGCCAGGCACCCCAGTGGGGACCCCCACCCTGATCCAGGACACCCTTCAGGGCAAACCAGCCAGCCCCTACCCGTGCACCAGGCCTCTATTCTATATAGTAAAAGGGTAATATGCCTCCCGGTACCGGGATCAGCGGAGCAGCGAGGCTCCCGGCACCGGGATCAGCGGAGCAGCGAGGCTCCCGGCACCGGGATCAGCGTGACAGGGGGCAGCGCCCAAACCCCCTGATCAGCCCTGCTCTGTGCCTGATAGGGGGGGAGCTCCCCAATCCCCCGATTGCCCTGCGGCTCTGTGTGTGACAGGGTGCAGCGTACCAACCCCCTGATCGGCCCTGCTCTGTGTGTGACAGGGTGCGGTGCCCCAACCCCCCGCCCCCACGGGCCCTGCTCTGTGTGTGACAGGGTAGAACCATAACCTCTCCATCGGCCCTGCCCTGAGTGTGACAGTGGCGGTGCCCCAACCCCCTGATCGGCCCTGCTCTGTGGGTAATAGAGGGTGGCACCCCAACCCCCCTCCATGGGCCTTGCTCTGTGTGTGACAGGGTAGAGCCATAACCTCCCCATTGGCCCTGCCCTGAGTGTGACAGGGTACAGCGCCCCAACCCCCTGATCCGCCCTGCTCTGTGTGTGACAGGGGGCGGTGCCCCAACTCCGCTATCGGCCCTGCTCTGTGAGTGACAGGGGGCAGCGCCCCAACCCCCTGATCGGCCCTGCTCTGTGAGTGACAGGGAGCAGCGCCCTAAACCCCTGATTGGCCCTGCTCTGTGCGTGACAGGGGGTGGCGCCGCAACCTCCCCATCGACCCTGCCTTGAGTGTGACGGGGGCGGTGCCCCAACCCCCCAATCAGTCTACCCTGAGCGTGACTGAGGGTGGCATTGCAACCTCCCGATCCGCCCTGCTCTGTGCATGACAGGGGGTGGTGCCCCAACTCCCCAATCGGCCCTGCTCTGAGCCTGACCAGGGGCTGCACTTAGGGATTGGGCCTGCCCTCTGCCACCCGGGAGCAGGCCTAAGCCAGCAGGTTGTTATCTCCCGAGGGGTCCCAGACTGTGAGAGGGCACAGGCCGGGCTGGGGGACCCCCCCCCCGAGTGCACAAATTTTTGTGCACCGGGCCTCTAGTCCTATATAATAAAGAGCTAATATGCTAATTAGACCAAACAGCAGAACGACCATCCAGACGACCTTCCAGACGAGGCCAGGGCTGCGAGGGCCGAGCCCCTTGCACAAATTTCATGCATCAGGCCTCTAGTTAGAAATAAACAAGATGTGCACAATCTATGTTCAGAAAATTATAAAATATTTCTTAAAGATGCAATTGAATGAACAAAATAAACTGATGAACAAAATAGATCCAGGGACACAGAAGCATGGAACAGACTATCAAACCTCAGAGGGAAGGTGGGGGGAGTGTGGGTGGCTGGGAAGAGATCAACCAAAGAACTTGTATACATATATGCATAACCCATGGACCCAGACAAAGGGTGGCGAAGGCCTGGGATGAGGGGTGGGGGTGGGCTAGAATAGGTCAATGGCGGGGGGGGGGAGAATTGGACATATGTAATACTTTCAACAATAAAGAGTTTTTTTAAGATGCAAAATTATACTTGAACAAATGGAAAGAAGATTCTTCTTGAATAAGATGCCTCAACATCATCCAGGTGTCAGTTTTCCCCAAGTTAATTTGATCATTTAATGGTATTCCAATAAAAACACTAACAAATTTTTTCTGGAGACAGACAAGATGATACCAAAGTTCATATAAAAAAAATAAACATGCAAGAATAGCCAGGAAAACACTGAAAGGAAAAAGATATGGAAGACAGGGAGCAAGTGAAATGGAAATTTAATATCTGATCCAGAAGGACTTTTAAGTAAGTGGCACTGGAACAACTGAATAGCCATTTGGGAGAGGGAAAGGATAAAATTAGGTCCATTCCTCACTCCATATTCAAGAATAAACTAAGAATCAGAGATCTAAATAGAAGTAAAAAAAAACACACACAACACAAGTACTGGAAGAAAACACACCACACATTTTCTCTATACATTAGGTGTAGGAAAAGGTTTCCTAACCATGCCTCAAAGTACAGGTGAAACTGAAGAAAGAACTGACCAACCTGACTAAATTAAATAAAGAATATTTTTTAATTGCATGCCCAACAATTCATAAGCAAAGTCAGCAGAAATGGAAACTTGAAATAAATATTTGCAATATATGTCACTGGTAGAGCGACAAACCCTAATACATGGTGCTTAAACATATGAACATATGTCCAACTTCGCTTATAATAAAAAATGCAAATTAAAACTATACTGAGATACCACTTCCTATCTACCAGCAGGCAAACATTTGAAAACTTCACAACACACCCTATGGGTTGTGTGGGAACAGTCATTCTCATACAGTGACAGTGGAAATGCAAAAATGCTCGTGAGGAAAGGAATTGGCAACAGTGACTATTCTCGTTCTCCGAGACTGATGTTGCCGATTACCACTAACTAGGTGGTTTGACATTATTTTTCTTTTTTTATCTTAACACATTTTTTTTTAAATTTCAGACAGTAAGGGAGAGATAGAAACATCAATGATGAGAATCATGGATCAGCTGCCTCCTGGGTGCTCCCTATGGGGGACTGAGCAGCAACCCAGGCACGCGCCCTGACCGAGAATCCAACCCTGACCTCCTGGTTCACAGGTCGGCGCTCCACCACTAAGCCACGCTGGCTGGCCACAAACTAGGAGAAATAAGTTCTTGCACAGTTTTGGGGGACTAAGGTCAGAGGTCAAGGTGTTTGCAGGGCTGGCTCCTTCTGGATGCTGGGAGTGAATCCATTGAGTCTCCCAGCTGGGTGGCCGCCAGCAGACCGTGGGGTGCAGGGCTTGGAAGCACACGCCCATCCCTGCGTGGCGGTCTTCTCGTGGCCTGGTCTTCTCGTGGCCTGGTCTTCTCGGTCTGCGCCTCCAATCTCCCTCTGCCTTTCTTTCCCAAGGAGTGAGGTGCACCCCAAACCCAGAGCCATCCTCTCTCCAGATCCTCGCCTTACTTACATCTGCAAAGATCCCCTTTTCTTTCTTTTTTTAAATGTTTTTCTTGATTTTTAAAAAAATATATTTTATTGATTTTTTACAGAGAGGAAGGGAGAGAGATAGAGAGTTAGAAACATCGATCAGCTGCCTCCTGCACACCCCCCACTGGGGATGTGCCCGCAACCCAGGT